CAAGTGATGTTGAGGTAGAACTTTTGGCCCACACCAGGAATGTGATCAGCAAAGACCTGGAGGAGGAGACAGGTCTCCACACAGGCTGGATCCAGAATGGAGGACTCTTTATAGCCTCCAACAAGCAGAGGCTGGACGAGTATAAGCGCCTCATGTCGGTACGAAAATAATAAGTTGAAAAAATGTTTTTATCAGTATTTCTTTTAAATCAAATACTAGACATTTCAGGGGATCCCATTTGAATTCCAGGTCACCCTGCATGGGGTTGCTAAATCCTGTTGTATGTCTTCCTCAGCTGGGTAAAGTGTACGGCATTGAGTCCCATGTCCTGTCACCTGCTGAGACCAAGGACCTGTATCCTCTGATGAATGTTAATGATCTGTATGGAACATTGTACGTGCCAAAGGACGGTACTATGGACCCAGCAGGAACCTGTACCACTTTAGCCAGAGCAGCAACTGCCAGAGGAGCCACGGTAACGAACTCTTGTCATTTTCTCTCGTTTAGTTTACCATCTCCAGAGCAGCACTGTGGTTTTTTTGTTGTCATTCTAAACTTTGTCCAATGAGTTTGTCACATTACATTTTATTGAAGCTGATCTTATCTGAACAAGAGAAAGTCTAGAGCAGATGAACTGGTATATCACCTTGTCAGGTAAACAATTGCACTTTCAAAGGGAACAAGGGAATGTATATATATATACTGTATAAATAAAATCTGTTTAATATTAAATTACATTTATCCATACACTACAATATATTGGATTAATGTTCATGTGATTAATGTACAAAACTGAAGCTTGTGTGGTAAAATAAAAATAACATTTTTTAAAAATTTCACTATTCACCTGCAGTACCATTGTGGACCCCTAAGGGTCTCTATAGAGGTGAAAGATCTCTACCTGGCTTTGAATACCGTAGGTCCATTTCACAGCAAGAAAAAAGGTTTTATTTGGGCATTTTATCCTGACTATTTGTATACAGTGTTTATACACAAACACACACACAGACACACACACATATATATAAACATATTTATATATTTGTGAATAGATAGATACAGTAGATAGCCCACCAAAAATAAAAGTAAAGTAGAATAAAATACAAACATGAGTAGGAGCACACTGACAATGATTATGGGAAACCTGAACAGTGGATGTTAGGTTAGTAGAAGTAGGTAGATAGATTAGAGTTAGTAGTATTAGTAGTTTAGTATGTAATTATTCTTGCCCTGTGTGGTGTTGTTGACTGCAATCTCAATTATTATTTATTATTATATTTCAAATATACCATTGTTTACCATTACCATACCATACCGTTATATGTATGGATTTTAGGTGGATTCAAACTCAGGTCCTACAAGAAGCTGAGCAGTACAGTTTCCTTGGAGTCTGATTTCTGTTTTTAAAATATTGGCCCAGAATAAGAACTCTCCAGTGTTTTTTTAACTGTATTTGCCTCAAGGTGTTCTTTTGATTTTAAAGTATGTTGTAAAAGTATTAAATATAACTGCAAACACTTAAAAAACCCACAAGATTAAACTCTGAATCATCAGCTGATTCACTGGGGAAAACAAACGAGGCTGTTGTTTAAACTAAACGTGAGGAACTCCATTCTGTAATTTCTACTTCAGGTGATTGAGAACTGTCCTGTGACTGGAGTTAAAGTAAGAGAAGACGACCTCGGGGTGAGGCGGGTGAAGGCGGTGGAGACACCCCACGGAACTATTGAGACACCGTGTGTAGTAAACTGTGCAGGTGAGGTTCAGACAAGGAAATCCAATGAAGGGAGAACTGTGATTTTTATTTTTATTTGTTTTCATTTGTTTTCTCTGTTGTGCGTCTGATTTTTCTTGTTTAATTTTTCCTGCAGGTGTGTGGGCCACCAAACTGGGTGAGATGGCAGGAGTCAAGGTTCCGCTCATTGCCATGCATCACGCCTATGTGGTGACAGAGAGAATTGAAGGCATACAGGTATTGGCCCTGTCTTTTCAAACATTAGCCACACTGTATGCTAGAGGGAAAATATAATCCAGTCCTCCACCAGCAGGCTGCCCAATGTCAAGTATAGACCTTTAAATGGAGGAATGATATTTTGCTTTTCTGAACATGTATTTATGTATACACATATTTATGTATTTAGCAGTTGCTTGTAAGTGGCTTACAAGAGAAGGATTAACAATCAAGCTCCTTAGAGGAACTGTTGACTCTTAGGAAAGGAGATTACTAGTTTGAAAGTTAACTAGATTAGGCTAGCACAGTACCTTCAGAAATACATTGTGAAAAGTTACCTGCTCTACATGCAAGCACTTGGGAAAATCAATTCGATTTTTAGTTAGTAGTACATTTATTTTTGTAAATGTTCTTAAGTTCACGCAGGCTATAAGGTGTTTCTCTTAGCTTGAAATATTAGCTGTTTTTTTTTAACCAATCTTGTTGTTTTATATTTAATCTAGTCCAGTCCATTCCATTTTATTCTATTAAATTAGTACAGTACTGTATAGTAAAGTACAGCATAGTACTGTACAGTACATTATAATATAGTATAATACAGCATGGTATACTACTGTGTAGTGTAAGGAATCTGATCTAGTCCAGACTGGTCTAGTCTAGTCTAATCCAGTCTGCCATCTTTTTGCACTTGTTGACTCAATAATATTAGTTATCATTCGTTTCCTGTTTTTTTTATTCCATCATGTTGTACTAATTTAATCAGACCAACGGGGGGCACTGTGGTCGCACAAATGTCCAGTCTATCGCCTCCATATCTCCGAATCTGTGACGTGTAGAGCTAAAGACCAGTGTCCAGTGCAGTAGACACACATTTGTGGAGCTCCTGTATGCAGAACACACGTCTGGTATACGGTGTGTGTGGTTCTGGGGTAGCTATAACTTTAGAGACAATGTTTGGAACTACACTGTCGGACACATTATCCTTCGGGTGACATTTAGCAGGTTCCCAATGAGCAGGAGGGATGAGAGAGTTCAGATTAGAATTAGGGTCACATTAGAGTAAGTGCAGAGGCAAGGACTCATTCTGTGAAGTGTACACGGAGCACAGGAACCACACAGTGTGTCTTGAGTGTAGTAAAATAAATAAATAAAATGGATTTTGTCTGTGCACACAAGCGTGACCGTGTTCATCCTCCAGAGGGCGTAGGTTTCAGACAGACTGTCAGAGGTTCTCTGTGTTACATGTTCTAGGAAAACGCTTAACCAGCTGTAGACACTCATGCAGCAGAACACCTTCACACACTCAGGGCCATAAAGAAACACAGTACTTTCAGATGACTGAGGAACCTCACACCAAATATCTCCCAGGGCTTTGTCTTTCCCAGCAGTCAGTGGTGTGGTTTTGGATTTTTCTTTTCTGTCTCTGTGAGCATATGAGAGGTTGAATGTTCAACAGGTCCTCAGTTACATGATCACATGCCCTCAGCTGTTCATTTAACTGTTTTCAAGCGCCCTCAGCTGTTCATTTAACTGTTTTCCAGCTGGTTCCTGTTTTGTTTTTTGTTTTTTTATCAAAATAGTGAATTGTTTGGCAAGAGTCCCCATGGTTACAGCTGTTTTCCAGGTGAGAATCAGTTGATTTTGGGGATCAAATGCACACAAGACTTAATGATTACTATGAAGCACACAACCTCATGTCCTTCCTTAAATAATTTTTAAAAAAGTTTCAATGTAGAAAATTATGAGCATTAAGGCCACATTGAGAATAAAAAAGATTTAAGAAGATTTAAGTCAAAACGCTTTGGGAAAAATGGTTTACAAGTCTTCATTTTTGAGAAAAAAAGTAATAATTTTACAAGAAACAGTTGGATTTTTTTACGAGAATAAACTTAAAATATTAGTGTAATCTTTCATCAAGTTAGATCTAAGGTATTGTTAGTCTACATACAGTATTTAATACAAAAATTATATATTTTTAAGCTAAATTTTAGGAAAGTTTTATCATTCTCATTCAAAATTGTAGTTGTTAATGATGAATTTTTTCCTCTTGTTTGGTGCGTAACCTTGTGCTGCCTATTCCTTTCTGCTGCAGATTGAATTTGACACCACGTTTCTTTCAGCTTTAACAGCCCCTCACGTTTTGTCTAAAGCACAAAAACCAGTCAAAGTCAGACCCTGTTACGCTGATCACTGCAGCCACACACACGTTTGAACAGATTCATTGGTCTGATGGTGTGATTTGTCACTCCTTCTGACTCCTGTGACTTTCCCCTCTGTGCAGAACATGCCTAATGTCAGGGACCATGATGCATCAGTGTATCTGCGGCTGCAGGGTGATGCCCTGTCTGTGGGCGGCTACGAACAGAACCCAGTCTTCTGGGATGAGGTGAGCCGAGGTCGACAGTTTTGATTCCTCTGAAGTGACTCTTTTCTTTTTGACTTAACTAAAGTTGAACACAGTGATTTCCTTCAACTAACTTTCAAAAAGAGAAATGTGTTTTTGTAGATAATCTCTGTCTAATAATTAGTCCGATAAACAAAATCCATTACCTCCCACATAAATACACTTTTATTGCTGTAATGTTGTCATCTACGAAGAAACCTATTTTGATCCTTGCAATCAGGTAGTTAAAATAAGAAGACACTGTTCTGTTTCCTCATATTTTGTTCCGTTCCATTCTGCTCTCTATGACAGCCGCAGCCACCGGCTGAGTGTTGGCTCAGTTCACAGGGAGGGAGTTAAAACAGTCCAGATGGTAGAATATTAAAGTCTGGACAAAGTACTGTGATGTATGACGTTTGATTGGCCAGATGTTTCCCGCTGAGAACTAACAAGATGATTTAACAGAACCCTAGTTTGCACACCGATGAGCAGTTTGGGTTTCTGTGAATGGTGAAATCTGACATGTAGATGTTTCCCGCCTCTCTCTCTCGCTCTCTCTCCCTCTTGCTCTCTCTCCCTCTCCCCAGGTGTCTGATAAGTTTGCCTTCAGCCTGTTTGATCTGGACTGGGATGTTTTTATGCAACACATTGAGGGAGCAGTGAACAGAGTTCCCTGTCTGGAGCAGACTGGTATTAAGTCCACTGTCTGTGGTCCAGGTATGTACACAGACACGTGCACCTACACACACAAACTCTTTCTCTCTCTCTCTCAAACACTCCATTCCATTTCTGTCATTATGGTTTTCCTGTTTGTTTTCGTCAGAGTCCTTCACAGCAGACCACAAGCCTCTGATGGGAGAAGCTCCAGAGGTCAGGGGTTTCTTCTTGGGATGTGGCTTCAACAGTGCTGGTAGGTGATGCACTAAGATAAACAGGGGTGATGAAAGATAGCGGAAAGTACAGGTTGTACAGAAATCTTTTCATTTCAAAGGTAACCAAAAACAAGTGTTAAATCAAACAAAAACCCAAACAATACCAAGGTGTTGAACTTCTCCTTGAGAAAAACTAAAAGGTCAGAGAAATCTTCAGAGATGCCCTTTGGTAAAATAACAAAAGCAAAACCAGTGGAAAGGGCTGATAAGTGTTTTCCCAGACTTTCAGGCCTGTGTTTTTGACTTCCTTACATTTAGCCTAGTGGAGCAGTGGTGGCTTAGTGATAAAGGAAGCAGACTTGGATCTAGAAGGTTTCAGGTTCGAGTCCAGCTGCCAAGTTACCACTGAAGTAACTGCTTCCCGGGCGCTTAAAGCTGCCCACTGTTCACTTTGGTGATGGGTTAAAGCAGATGGGTTTTCCAACAGAGGTCATGACATGTGACCTCTGCAGGATTGGAGTGGTGGTGAACCTTCCTGCCTCACTTTTGTTTATTTCTGTATTTGAAGCTTTTGTTTTTTTCTTTTGGCTGGCTGTTATACATTCATTTTTTGTTTAAGTTTGTTCTGTTTACTCTTTAGTGTCTTTTCTTAACTTTTACTCTGTTTCAAACCTCTTAGTATTTGTGACTGGTATTAGCATGTTTGTGGTCTAACCTTTAGCAGTCCTAAGCTAGTTCACAGTGGCTGTACAAACCTGAATTATTTTATTTTCCTCTTTCCTTCCCTTTAACTAATCTCATTTACCACATTTCTACATCAACTAGATCCTAGTGATCAAGTCATTTAGTTGGCTTTCCCTTTAGCTACAATGGCTTTCTGGTAAACTTAAGCTTATTGCAGACTCTTAGCCTTCCTATTGGCTAAACCTTAGCAATTTCCTTGCAATTTTAAGGTGACTTGTATTGACCAAAGGCTGTTTATTAGCAATTTTGGCTAACCTTTAGCTTTCTTTAAGTAACTTTTAGCTTCTTACATTTGGTCTTAACTTACACTTCCTCCTCTTTGTACACTGCCCCTCATCAGTCATCACTACATTTGATTATAAACAGCATCACTGTCATTGTTGACACTTCGTCATAGATTCTAAGAATTTGAGTCTTCTAATGAAATATGCAGTGATCCAATATCTGTGACAGTTTGTTATTTTCTCCTTCCATGTTCTACAGTGTTTGTTCTCTGGCAGCCGTGTTGTTCTTATCCTCTGTGTCAAAACAAACTGCTGAGTTTACAACTCTGGACTGTTTGTTGTCATGATGGCTGTTTAATTGCCCAGGGCTGCTCCCACCTCTTACTCAGCAGCTTCCTTAAGTCTTGCTCATGATCACAGTAATGAGCACCTTCCCTAGGATAAAGCTTGTGCCCTGTCTCTGTCCCTCAGTAGTTTTGTTCACGGTGCAAAAGTGAAAATGGCCTGAAATTCTGCCAGTGAGTTTGTTAAAGCTCACTGGCTCCAGTGGTACAAAACCTTCATCCATAACTTTAAACTTCTTTAAAAAGCAATGATTGGATTGAACACTTTTGTTCAACACTCTTATTTTCAAAATAACGAGTCAATTACAAACATTCCTATGAAACACTGAATGGTTACTGAATTTCCCAAGATGCCAAATTGTTTTCATGTATTCAGTACTTTTGGAGTTATTCAGGAGCACCTGATAAAAAACTACACTGATAAAAATATTCATTATTTATTATCAGGGCTTTTCAGATTAATTGGAATGATGTCATAGTTTCCAGATAATAGGCCAAAAATGATCAGACCAATAATTATTGTTCACCCCTAATATAAATCTAAAAACATTTAGAATGAAAACA